CGAAAGATGGCTTACACAAGTAAGATATAATATGCAGTTACGACGTCATAGGGTGAATTGAAAAAGTAGTCTATAAAACATATGACCAGTCACATTAATGCCCGCTACAATTTTCCTCTGTAACAAAGTACACATCGTGCAATAGATACAGTGATGAATTATGATGTGTATTTGACACCGAGGTTTATGTGAATGATCTTGATTCATATATATACACAGCAACAAATCACCCATGCAATAATAACAAAGTAATCCGCTATATATATAGATTAACCTATTCCACTGTTTTGTTTGAAATATTAACGTTATATGCATGTGTAAACCAATCATGAGGATTCCCTCCCTTTTCTCATCGTGTGGCAGTGGTAGCAACCAATGGAATGTATGACAGACACAAATATGCAAATGTAAGCCGTGTACTACTCAAATGCACTGGAGAATTTGTCACACAGTCGACGTTAAACAATATTATACACATCGAAACCTCTGAACAGCTCTACATCAGACGCAAAAACGGTGAGTACTGTACATCTGAAAAATACACGAAAATATTAGACAAATTCTTAGAATTGTGTACAAAATAGGGAAGTTTTTTTTATTTAACATCGTTTTACTGCAGTTACTTGCCAATTCTTCTACTATTGTACCAAAAAGAGAAGTATGCCTGATTCGCTGGCATACATACCTTCTTTTATAATCACTACGCGCATTACAATTAAACTTCGCAATATGATCGATGTCGGGTATGTTATTTAGAAACCATGCCCTTTGCTAACATATTTCATCGTCATAATCAACAAATGGTCGTTTCGTATTTCTAGTATCTACAATGAACAAGAACGCATTTGTGGTTTTGCTGGTTATATTACTCGTAATGGCGGAATGTGTACAAGTCAATGCGTTTAAACGTAGACGATCCATAAGAAATGCGAACGATATGGATGACAGTGTCTCAAATGAATCAGACATGGAACAGAAGAATGCAGGGGTCAACAGTGAAAATATATTTGAATGATGATGAATGAACAAAATGTGAAGTGAAGAAAAAAAAATATTCAACATAATTTGATGTCCTTTTTGTCATTTTGTCGCCGATCTACCCGCGTGGTGTTTTTGTATTTGTAGATTTTACATCCATTGCGTGCGTTGCCTTTTCATGATCCTCATTGCTGAGGATTATGATAACATTTATGTTTTCCTCCTGCAAATTCTTGATCTAAACAAGTCAATCTGGAAGTGAAATAAAAGTGGTATAAATATTGTTTTGTTTACCTTTGCAAATTGTAGTATATTATGGAGGGAATTGCATTGACGAAAGTAAAATACCATGTGCAAAACATTTTGGATTCAAATTGATAAACCTATTACTAGTATTAGAAGTAAATT